GCTGATGTGTTTGGGCATCAGCTGATGGTAACATAACTGCACCTCAGCAGTCTTTCCAGATCCATACATCCACTAAACAACTCAGATTCATACTTCTACTCAACAACTGAGATTCATACTTCCATTAAACAACTAAGATTCATACTTCCACTAAACAGCTGATATATACTTCCACTAAACAACTTAATTGTTTAAACACTTTTTCACTATTATCAATGACCAATTTACTCAGCAGTTGTAGAGAGACAGCTAGAGTAGACACATCATCATAAGAGACATGTGAATGTGTCATTACAGTGTAACTATAATGTATGATACTGAACTTTAGTGGATGACTGATATTAATTCACAGTAAATATCCACTTCTAACTTTTCATGCAGATTTTTTTTTAACATGCTGGCCATCTCCCACTGAGGCAGGATGACCTAAAAAAAAGAAACACTTTCACCATCATTCACACTATCACTGTCTGGCCAGAGGCACACAGATAAAACAGTTCAGGTGGCCCTTCAAACAGCAAATATCCCAAACCCCTCCATTAGAGTGCAGGCATTGTACTTCCCACCTCCAAGACTCAGGTCTGGCTAACTGGATTTTTTTTTTTTTTTTAACACATTGGCCGTTTCCCACCAAGGCAGGGTGGCCCCAAAAAGGAAAACGTTCACCATCATTCTCTCCATCACTGTCTTGCCAGAGGTGCACTTACACTACAGTTATAAAACTGCAACATTAACACTCCCTCCAGATATTTTGTATAAATTAAGTAATGTTTGATTTGAATATCAAACATAGAATTTAAAGCATAAAAATTTAAAGACAGAGTGGGTTTATCAAGGGTATAATTCAGAAGGATGAGGATGGATTGTTAAGGTAGTTTGTGCATTTAGACAGTATAGAGGAATAATGGTGACCAAGTGGGTTTAGAAATCTGTTATGTAAGTAAAGAGGGGCAGGGGTTGTCTTAGGAATGATTAGAAGGAGTAAAGGAGGTTTTGAATGGTAGAGGCTTCAGCATCTGGCAGGCTTATGTGAGCATGTTACATCAAAGTGGAGGAAGTCAAGTAGTTATTATGGCTTGACATACTGTTGGATTGAGGGCAAGGTACTGTTTATAAAAGGATTCATTAAAAATGGTTAGTTATTTTTGAATCCTGTAGGTGAGAAGTACAGTTCATGCATTCTGAGAAATAGGTAGGGATGTTGCAGTTAGGGGGTCATTTGAATTATATTGTCTGCACATTTCTGGGAAGACAGTTATTGAATGAGTGATGGTGGTCACTCTATCTTGGGAGAATACCAAAGTGTTAAAAATAAAAGAAAGCATTAGTAGACATGACTTGCTCTCTGTTAGCAAGGATGGCCCCAGCTCTTCTGTCAGGAAGCAAATTGAAAAATCAACTAGAGTTTATTACTTACATTTTGTGCAGTACTTATTTGTATTTACAGTGCATAGTATCAAGATTTTCATGTGTCTTTTTTGTTGCATTGCATGAAAATTGTACTGTATTTAGTCATGTTATAAGAAGGTTTACTGTACTCACTAAGCTTTTGTTTTACTGTTGCACTTCTGTTTTTTCTTTGTGCATGTTGTGTGTGATTTTTTCTTTCTATTAAAGCAGTGTGGGGAGATGTAATCATTATAGTGCCTGATTGTTCATTGTTATTCTGTTGTGGCAGCTTCTGAAACTCAATATTTTAGAAGGCTGATTTTTTTTATGCATTTCACAGAATAATAAATATTACTGTATCTGGGTTTGCTATAAGTTGGAAATTATCAGCTTGCTGTCTTGGGTTTATTGTAATTCCACCAATACTTGATAAAAATTGAGAAAGAATATGTTTGTGCATTTGTATATGTTTTCTTTTCCCAGATTATGAACCAAAGCCATTTTGTTCTTGAAGTGCATTTCTGTGTCACATTAACAGTACATACTATGAAGTGAAATGATTATTACACTGATCAAACAGTAGCTAAACCAGTCCAGTGAGTTGGTTATTACACTGATCAAACAGTAGCTAAACCAGTCCAGTGAGTTGGCTATTACACTGATCAAACAGTAGCTAAACCAGTCCAGTGAGTTGGTTATTACACTGATCAAACAATAGTTCAGCCAGTGAGTTGTATAGAAGTAACCTTTGCTTAGGTGACTAAAACTCATGATGACATTTTGGTTTGACTTGGACTATTAACAAGTCATGCAGAGAAACAAGAAGGGATGGGGGCCAGAATACGTACAAAAGAAGGGTGGGGATGGGCATGGTAGAATGGGAGGAAGGAGTAGTAGTGGTGGTGGTGGTAGTAGTGCTGCACTAGTTGAGTAAAAAACAAGAAAGAAGTAGTAAGATTAGTAATGAAAAAAATGGCCAAGAGTGTAACATTAGTGACAAAATAGTAGTAGTAGTAACAGTGGTGGTAGACTGAGAACTGGAGAACTAAAGAACACTGCAGAAGAGCTACTGGCCCATGTGGGTAAGATGAAATTCCTCTTGTGACAAAAGCCCCCATAGGTCAGAACCCACTGAAGTAGAAGATAGGAAAGGCAGTTAAAAATATGGAAAAGGTGAAGAGGTAAGGAGAGAAGGTAAAGGTCAGTTCAGGTCATGAATGTTCTGAAGTTTAGAGCATTTAACGATGTAATGAGAAAGGGAGGCATTTACAGAAACAAACCCAGGACCAAGATTCACGTTAAGAATTTTGTGTATAAGAGATGCTCCGAAACAAGATGGTGTCTGTGAAGAGTGAACAATTTTGGCAGAGGACCAATATATAGGATGACCTTGATCTTTAACATGACAGAAAAGAGCATTGTTAGTGTCAGCAAGGCTAACACTTTTGTGTCAGAAAGAGAGCAGCCAGTTACTCCAAAGTATTGGAGCGGACAAGAGGGTTATAAAATGGAGCAGACACTGGAAGCATCAGTGGCAGGGGGAGAGGTATTAACCAGATTACTATGAAGGGTATTAGTTTGGCAAAAAGTAAGTTTGATGTCTAAAAGATGGAGAGTGTTAAGATTTTGGAAACTAGGAATATGAGGAAGACAAAGAACAGGAGAACAGAATTTTTTTTGAGTCAAATGCGGAGGGCATGGAGAAAGAGAGAAACAAGAACAATTCTTGACTTCAGGAGTATGGTAAGAAAAGTAGTGAATGTACATGCCACTGTGCATTGGCTAGTGATAAACAAAATGAAAAGCCTGTTCCCAAGTGATGAACATGCACTTGATGGAAAGAGCAAGATTGTTAAGGGCATCATATATATTCTCACCCCCTTCTCTTCTTGCTTCTCTGTGTGACTTTTCAATGCTCCAAGTCAGATCAAAATGTCATCATAAGTTAAAGCTTCCATAGTGTGGGTTATTTGTGAATTGTTTGAGCCACTTATTACTTTTATTCTTTTCTTCATCAACTTGGTCATTACACTGGTAAAACAGTAGCATAACCAGTCCACTAAGCTGGATATTACACTGACCAGTCAGTAGCTTGATCAGTCCACTGAGTTGGATATTACTCTGACCAGTCAGTAGCTTGATCAGTCCACTGAGCTGGATATTACTCTGACCAGTCAGTAGCTTGATCAGTCCAATGAGCTGGATATTACTCTTGACCAATCAGTAGCTTGATCAGTCTACTGAGCTGGTCACTACTTTGATGAATCACTTGCATGACCAGTCCACTGAGCTTGTCATTACTCTCGGTGAGGCCACAGATAATAAAAATGGAAATGGAAGCTTTCAAACTGCATTATATTAAAAATTAAATTGGTCATAAGTGAACCATAATAGTTGTGCCACTCTGGATGGGCAGCTAGGCAGAGAGTGAAAGTGAAGGTTTTCCTCTTTACCAAACCTTGCTAGGAAATGGTCAGTTTCTGACCAAATATTAATGAGTGTCATGTTCAACCTACAATACATTATTTATACTCTTTACATAAAGCATACTAAATGTAAATACAAATACAGTATTAAATTATTTTTAAGTTGATAAATCATTGCATAGATTTGAAAAATTGGTTTGAGTAGTTCGTGTGAATTAACACTTGATGTTCAGTGGGATTTGTTTCATTATTAGATAATTGTAGGTTTAGCATGTATAAGTGTGAGGAGATTCTAAGATAAATCTCTTAAGTGCCTCTTCTGTTTGCCTGGGGATGCAGTAGCTGTCGTATTAGCTTTGTCTTTTACTCATCTGGTTTTGGCAGTATTTTAATTATTGGAATCCAAGAAGTATACTTGCTTAATTTTCATTGAAATGTATATGGTCCATATAAGCTATTGCTGATGGTGAGGCCCAACTCAGCATCTGAACTTGCCTAATTTTCACTGAAATGTATACAATTCATATGAACTGTTGCTGATGGTGAGGCCCAACTCAGCATCAGAACTTTGCTAAACAGTCTTAAAATACTACAGGTCTTAAAATACTACAGGTTTCTCTAGTTATAAACATTCAAACCTACATATTGGGCATTTATGAACTAGTTGAAATTTTATAACTGCTGAGCTTCCATACAGATGTGTGAAATTAAATCACCCTTTGAATTTTTGGTTTCTGTACAACAACATTAGTCAGTTGAAAAATTAGAAAGGCAATTTGTTTGTAAGTTGGGGACCTCATGTATTTATGCAATTAAAATTATGAAAAAATACAACTGAAAAAAATTCTATCTTATATATGCATTATATAAGAAAAGAGACTGTATATTTCAATCTCCATTGGAGATCTTCATCAGTGGACAGAGGTCAAAATATGGTCTCTTTTTTTTTTTTTTTCCACAGTATTGCTCTGTATATGTGGGGTTTCTCAATCCATTGGCAAGTGTCTGCTATACTTTCAGGTTTCTTCATATTGTATTGTTTTAAGGCATTTTTTGCTATAGTTCGGGTGTTCGGTTTGCTTTTATATATTGACAACGTCTTTTATATGGTTCATACCTACGAAGTATCGAGTAATGTATTCAGTAACCGCAACTAGTGATATTGGAGTGTTCTTGCCTCTTCAGAGTCAGAAAAAATCTTCAGGGCCTTTACTTGTCAAGGAGAGCAGAATGCCAGTGTGCAGGCATGAGATATGGTGGAAAGTGTTCATGCAGCTATACTCAGACCCTGAAAGCCAGGTACCTAACACATATTACACTGTTTTGCTTACAAAAGTGAGCATATGCCACATGAGATTAAGTTTGTTGCATTTGTGATTAACAGATCATTTGATTAATTGAAGTATTAATGTAAGTATTACTGTATATAATGGATTTTGTCATTTTTGTGTTTTTATCTGAATATATTATCCTTGTCATCAATGATTTTTCTCATGCTCGAGATAAGGGTGTATGGATAAATTTTAAGAATAGAAATAAAAGTATAAATAAAATCCGGGCAGTGAGCATGCACGTGTCAAGCATAAGTTTGTTTCCCTTATGTTCCAGGTATTACATCACTTATTTCTTGTCCATCCTTGGCATCTTACCTTTATGACTTTCTTCATCATTTTTATACAAGCTGTTAATGAACTTATCCTAGGAAAAAAAAAAGGAAGTTTGTACTAGGGTAAAAAGAGCACATTTTAGTAGTAATGTAAAGTTACAACTAAATACAGTATACAGTACTTTATATACAGAAGAATTTTATAGCATGCTTTTTCTTCAGAAGGCACACACTTGCTGGTAATGGAATTTTTTTTTCTTTCTTATCAGAATTGGACACATTAGCAGTGTCCTTTTAACCTATTCTATATGATAATGTAGTTACATAGTGGGAGTTATATTTTCTTGTCATGTTTCATCAGTCAGCAGATGTCATCAAGTATTCAATTCTATATGACTCACGAAATTGTAATGACATGTTTGCAAACAAAGCATTCCACGGGTGGGGGTTAGAACCCGCAAGTTCTAACCCCACCCATGGTATAGTTTATTCATATTTATTTCTTATGCTTTAATTTTAGTATCCGTTTTATTAAGCAGAATTGTACAATACAAATTATACTGTGGACGATCATAATCTGTACAGGTTACATTCCTGAAAACTCCATTATTAATGATTTCTGCAACTTATGGGCTGAAGAATACAGTGCTAATCATGGCATTATGCTGCCCCTCCCCCACACATGTACCAAAACACAAACACATACCATGAAAGATTATAATATATATATTTTCACACTTACTGAGGTTTTAATACTTGGTGCTGCATCCTTTATGCTTAATCACGTCTCTCAGCCATGTAGGAAGACTCACAAATTCTTGAGGGTTTGGGGAGGTATATTATTCCATGCCTCATGTAGAGCAGCCTCCAGCCACGGGATGCAGTTGATATCCTTGCCCAGTAAACTTCGTTTCACTGTTGACCAGAGGTTCTCAGTAGGGTTTAGGTCTGGGGAATTGCCTGGCCAGTCATTAAAGAACCTCACTTCACAGTCCTTAAGCCACTGAACTACAGATTTGGCGGTATGACACAGTGCACCGTCCTACATAAAAACCATAGCCCTCACACTTCTCAAACACCTCAGGTAAATTGTCACACAATAACTCCAGGTAATTATACTGGTTCATATACTGGTTTTTGGGAAGCACAATTTCACCAACACTCTGATCACTGAAGCACCCCAAAACCACCAGCGAGTCTGGGTATTTAGTGGTTCCACAGGTGTAGCATGGGTCTGGCGGGTCACTACCTCTGGGCTGGTACACGTCCCTCATGGTTACAGGTGACGGTGAAGGTTGCTTCATCACTCCAAAGTACTTCAGATCACTGTTGAAGATTCCAGTGAAGATATTTCTTTGCATAATCAAGCTTACGTTTCTTCTGTGGCTTGGAGAGGATCGGTTTCTTAACCTGGTGGTGACTACTGTAGCCCAGTTCTTTCAGACACCTCTGAGAGAAGATGTGGGTTCTTTTCTTTCAATTCTCTAGCAGTTATCTTAGGTGTACTCTCTAATTGCTTCTTTAACACAGTTAAGGTATGAACAGATTTCTTCGAGGGGCCAGGCCGAGGTTTGGCAGACGGTAACTCGACACTGCCACCAGCCTTGAAATGCTGCACCCAGTTCCTCACTGAACGCTCACACATACCAACATTCTCCATTATTTCTTTCATCTGGTACCCAGCTTTGTGAAGCCCTATGATTTGAGCTATGGTGTCAGGTGCTAAAGAGTTCCTTTTACCCATAATCAAACATGTATAGCCCCAAAAACAAAGGGAACACTGGACGAAAGATGGGGCAGATGAGAGACAAAAGTGCAACACTTCCTCTCATCATGGCAGCCACATGAGCAGAGGAGTCACTGTGGAATGTGGCGGCAGGTCGAGATGTCATGCAAACGGCCGCTACCTGGCATAATGCACTAACGATAAAAGACCCCCTGTATGGTAGGCCTTTGATTTTCATCATGGCATTATGCCGGGGCGCTCACCTGGCATAATGCCTTGACTAGCACTGTATATGGGAAAAATAGAACTTTTTTTTTTCTTAACACACCTGCTATCTCCCACTAAGGCAGGGTGAGCTGAAAAAGGAGAAAGACTTTCACCTTTACTCGTTTCATCACTGCCTTGCCTGAGGTTCACTGGTTCTACAATTCATTTGCCCCTCCAAACTACAAATATCCCCCACCCTTTCTTCAAAGTGCAGGCACTGTACTTCCCACTTCCTGGACTCAAATCTGGCTGACTGGTTTCCCTGAATCCCTTCATAAATGTTACCCTGCTCTCGCACTAGCAGCACACTGTCCTAAAAACCACTTGCCTCCACTCGTATCCAGTGTGCTCACACATGCCTGCTGGATGTCCATACAAAACCTCTTTACTCCCTTTCTCCAACCTTTCCTTGGGCGACCCCTTCCTCGTCTTCCCTCCAGTACTAATTTATATACCCTCCATATCATCCTATTTTGCTCCATCCTCTCTAAGTGCCCAGACTGCCTCGACAACTCCTCAGTCCTCTGGATAATACTGTTAGTAACTGTGCACCTCATTCTAATCTCCAAACTATGAATTCTGCTTAATATTTCCCAACACATTGCCCTCAGACATGACATCTCCACTGTCTTCAGCCTCCTCCTTGCTGCAACATTCACAATCCATGCTTCACACCCAAATAAGAGTGTTGGTATCACTGTAATCTGATACATTGTCCCTTTTGCCTCCCTTGATATCATTCTTTATCTCCACAGATGTCTTAAATGCACCACCCACCCTTTTAACCCTCGTGTTCTTTGGTTCATTTAGTCATTCCTTGACCCATCTGCCAACAAGTCCACTCCCAAATATCTGAACACATTCACTTCCTCTTCCTCTGTTTATTATAGATTTAGCCGGACTTGAGTCCTGGAAATGGGTAGTACAATGCCTGCACTATAAAGGAGGGGTCTGGGATATTAACAGTTTGGAGGGATTTCTAAACTCATATCTGAGCGCCTCTGCAATGACAGTGATTATGTATGAGTGAGGTGAAAGTGTTGAATGATGATGAAAGTATTTTGTTTTTAAGGATTTTCTTTCTTTTTGGGTCACCCTGCCTCAGTGGGAGATGGCTGACTTGTTGAAAAAAAAAATTCACTTCCTTCATACTCCCTCCTTCCAATCTGATATCCAGTCTCTCATTACCTAAACTTTTTGTTACCCTCATCACCTTGCTCTTTCCTATGTTCACTTTTAATTTCCTTCTTTTACATTTTTGTTTTTTAAACATACCATCCATCACTCACCCAGGTAGAGTGACCTGAAAATAAAAATCACTTTCACCATCACTCTTGCCAGAGGCATGCCGATACTACAGTTCAGATGCCCCTCCAAACTGCAAATATCCCCATCCCTTCTTAAGAAATAATAGTTTTTCTTATCTGACTTTGTTGATGTTAACGCTCTGTGAAATACCTGAACTCTAGTGAGGTTCAGACAGATGAAAGAAAGTACATTAGCTGAAAAATGTTACATAAATTTCGTGCATTATTTGTTACTTTTGAGTTCAGGATGTTTAACAGTTGAAGTGAGTGGAAAGAGTGGTTTTGGACTTATTCCTCATTCTTTTCAGTCTCACTGAGGATTATTTATTGCACAAGCCATCATCATTGTCTCATTGTCTCAATTTGACTAAATCATTGCTTCGCTGACACCAAACACTTGTGATGTCTCCATGATGCATGCATCCTTTCAGCATCTCAGTTACCTCCAGTCTGTTTCCTAAGAGGCATAGTTTCAGTCTTAATCTTCTTTGTTGCTCCACCACATCACTTTCACTGCACATCATTTGGAAGCATGTTATATAAATATCCGGAGATAAGATGGGGAAATGAAAAGAAGGAAAAACTGAGCAATGTGCACTGAGGTAAAATCATACAGTATGCATCCAGATATACTGACCCATGTGGGAGGCCAGTTTGTTTATACTTCATCACCCTCACACCTGCCATGGCTGCCTACCCTGGTACTCCTTAGTGAAAATGCTTGCTACTGATGGCAGTAAATTCTGCTCTGGCACTCCTTAACCCCTAAACGGTCCAAACGTATATATGTATACGTTCACTTGCGTAGCGCCCCAAATTTTTTGAGAAAAAAAAATTGCTTTTTTTTTAATAGGAAAAAAGAGCATATGGTACCCAGGCGTCCCCAATTATTTTAATATGGCGCACACCCATTCTCTCATGTCTAGGTGACTCAGGCTTATCGTGGCAATGTTGAATGAATGACAAAGAAAACGTATATATACGTTTGGGGCGCTACGCATGTGAACGTATATATACGTTTGGACCGTTTAAGGGTTAATGGAAATGCACACCACCATTGGAAATGAATTCCACTCCTGTGTGTCTTAATGGAAATGGGTACACTTCTATTGATATGTAGGGAAAATATCATCATACATTCTATATCAATGTATAATATGTAGTCATGGCCTTGTATATTATTGTTTTCTTTTCCCAAAATTTAGTCATTTCCATTTTAATGAAAGCAAATATTTTAAATTACTTTGCTAGGAAAGATTTCAGCTATTTGGCTGACCCACATTTCTGTCCATGCCACTTTGTACAACTAAATAGTGATTATAACACATTCATGCTCACTGCTCAGGTTTCCAAGTTTTTTTAATATAATAATATTTATGTGCTTTTATAATTATTTATTTATTTATTTTTTTTTTTTTTCAATTTTTTTTTTCTTTATGATCAGAATAGTTTTTAATGTAACAAGGGAGAATGAGTTATGACAGAAAAATTTGATCTATAAATGTTGAACTTTATATTATTGTCATTGTGCCCTGGTATAAATTAAAGAACTTATGTGAGTGTAATATAAATGTTTAATCCGTGTATTAGATAACAGTGTCCAAGAATGTTTCATGATTTATGATTAATCTAGAATTATCATACCTTGCGTCATTTATTATATCCATTCAACAGTAGTTGTTGATGAAATAGGCAGTGACATTCATTGGTCATACTCTGTCGTGATATATCATAAACACTGATCAGTGAAATGGTAAATCCCACATTGATGGAAAATAAAAGGCAAAGTGGAGAGGGTCTGTTTATTTTGGCCTCATCCAGTAACCCAGTTCAGATGATTAATAGTCTCTGATTGAGACAGAAATATACAGCTCGTTTCCATTCTCCATTATGTTTTGCATCCATGTTAGATTTACCACTGTCGAATTTTGTATCATTTGTATCATACCCACTCAGTAATATTTGTTGACTAAACAGGCTCTGACAAATTTCAGATACTGTATATGGTTGACTTTAACTATCAGAAAAATATTTGTAGTAAACATGGCACCATTACAGGTTCAACGCTATAACAGGTGTGGAGTTAGGCGGTGAGAGTGATGAGATGGAAGAGCTCTTACCTAGAGTGAATGTATCTGAAGGAGAAGTAGGGGGAATGTTTGAGCATGCTATTGGTGGTGGTGGTGGTGGTGATGATGATGGTAATGACAGACCCACAATAGTGCCATCAGAGTCTCTAGTGGTGCAGCTTTAATGATCTTCTACCACTTGCACTCTTGTAAGTGCATGCGCTTCCTTTTTCATGATGCACTATCCTTGCATGCTTCTTTGCACTGCAACTAATATCTTTTTGCACAAGTATGATAGATTTTGAACTCGCTTCAGAATGCTCTAATCATGTTTATATTTTGCTTTTTACAATTAATAAGAAGCCTTTTAATCATCCTAATGCAAAATAATTTACAGTAACTATTAATTTTCTTTTCTAATGGCTATTTACACTTTTACACAATAAAGGTTTATAAGCACTGCCGGCCATTAAAAACTCACTTATGTATTCCAGGATATTTGGATCTCTGCGAAGACCAGGGAGGCAGGGCCACATTGCAGTTCCAACAGATGATGACTTGGACCTGGAGCTCAAGTTTATTTCCCCATGATAGTTTTACACCTCTTACCAGACTTGTTCTACTATTTTATTGTAAATTAATTTATATTATAATTTTGGAAGAGTTTTTTGTCATTATATTTGTTTCATCACTTAGTCAACAGGATTATTATTTAGTCCTTTAAAAATTTAATCCTGTTAAGAAAATATCATTTGTTATTAAAGTAACTGTTTTTGTAATGAGCTTTAAAGTATAGACACTATTATTGTCATCTTATACCGTAAGTTAAAATTCTATTTACTCTGTACAGTATATGAATGTATTTTATAATTGTATTCACTGCATTCACCTGTGTCTTTGGTGTCAGTCGTGTATGAACAAGGGTCATTGGGTCAAGGTATAATTTCTTTAACTAGAAATTATTTTTGCACAAATATTTCTAAGGAAAATTTACCTCAGGAATTTTGGTTTTCAGTACTGTATGTACTGAAATACAGATGTCCTTCACTTTATGCTGTAGGTGTGTTCCAGATCATGGCAGCTGCACTAAACTCCTTAAACATTTAATGGTGAATAACAAGTGTCTTTGATATGCTTTGCAATTTATACTGATTGCAACTGTACTATACATGGTGTACAAAATTAATTATCAATAGAAATAGGACATTGCTTAATAGAGAAGTCACATACAATGAGGGAAATCTTAATGCTGACAATTCTTTCTTTAATTAATCAGGCCTTGACTGAAAAATTACCAGGTGCTGATAAATCTTACATTCCATGTGAACCTTATTAATTCCAAATTTGTACCATTGAAGAATCCTGTAAAAAAAAAAATACCTAGAAAATTTTGGTACATTATGTATGTACTGAAATGTTTTATGTTTTGGATAGCATGCAGGTGTCAGCTTAAAATTTTCACCTCATATGCCAGGTCTGCCTAAAAACTGGTTTTAAATGTCAGTACAGTGGAACTTCGTTTTTCAACCGTAATCTGTTTCAGAAGGTCGGCCTAAATTCGGTGGGAGACGGCCGACTTGTAAAAAAAAAACAATTAAATCCATTCCAGACACCCAAAAATATTCACAAAAAAATACATTTTTTAAAGATTAATTATAGTTTTACATACACAAAGCAAGGAGAATTAAATAAAATAAAGAAATAAACATTTAAATCAGTATTACATACCTTTATTGAAGACTTGTTGGCTTATGGAGAGAGGGAGGACTGATTATTGTTTAGAAGAGGAATCCCCCTTCATAAGGACTTAAGGTATCAAAGCCCTCTCTGGGGGTACATCCCTCCCTGCCTGCTACACTCCCTGCCTCCCTTCCACACTCCCTGTTTCCTTGCTACACTCCCTGTTTCCCTGCTACACTTCCTCCATGCTACACTCCCTGTTTCCCTGCTACACTTCCTGCATGTTTGCTTGCTACACTCCCTGCATTCCTGCTACACGCCCTCCATGCTACACTCCTTGCCTGCCTGCTACACTCACTCCATGCTACACTCCCTGCGTGCCTGCTACACTCCCTGAATCCATGCTACACTCCCTGCCTCCATGCTACACTCCCTGCATGCCTGCTATACTCCCTGCATGCCTGCTACACTCCCTGCCCATGGCTTATTTCACAGTTGCACTTAATAAACAAGCCACATCAGCTTCCTTGAGTTGTTCTTTCTTTGCCAGGATAGAAGTGATTGTTGATTTGTTTTTGCCATACATCCCATGGTGACTTACTATTTCACAGTTGCACTTAATAAAAAAACACCAAAAACAATGGATTTTAAGGAAATGTTTGGGTGAATGCTTGGAGTACATATGTGCTAACTTGCTGACAGACAAAGGGAGACTGACTCACCTGTGCACAGCATCCTGGGCTGACGTGTCTAATACGGCTGATATATGAGGCAGTGGCCGAAAAAGGAGCAAAATTTCTGCCGAAAAACCAGCCTAAATACGAATTGGCCAATAAACAAAGCGGCCAAAAAATGAGGTTCCACTGTAAATAAAATAACAAGGTTGTTAATTTGGGAAGAAAACAAATCATGGACCACATTTTCAATAATTACAATAGGAACTACCTAAGCACAATGCACTGGATACTGCATCAGGAAATATCAGGGTATGCAAAAACAGTTTTTGCATACTGACAGCAGAAAAAATATTACTACATGATAGGACTAAATTACATTGTAATAAATAATTTATCTTATTTTCAGTAGTTTTTAAGGTAAGTAAAATCAACCATTTTCTATTGGTTAACTGTACAGTAGAAACCAATGTTCCTGACAAGCAGAGTTCTCTACATATATATAGATTTTTAAGTACTGTAGGACAAATTAAACATCTTTCAACAAATTGGCCGTATCCCACCGAGGCAGGGTGGCCCAAAAAGAAAAACAAAAGTTTCTCTTAACTTTAGTAATGTATACAGGAGAAGGGGTTACTAGCCCCTTGCTCCCTGCATTTTAGTCACCTCCCACGACACGCATAGCTCATGGAGGAAGAACTCTATTCCACACCCCAGAGGGGTGTGTACATGCTTGTACATGCATGTGTAGTGTGACCTAAGTGTAAGTAGAAGTAGCAAGATGTACCTGAAATCTTGCATGTTTATGAGACAGAAATTAAACATACTCCAGTAAAACTATGCAAAATTATCACATTGAAAAGAAACAGGTCAGAACATTTTTGCAGTGCATTAATCATTCTCAAGAAACACTGTAAAGCACACTAGCAATAGGTGACATCTACTCTATATATTATTACTGCATTCATGAGCGATCACTAAATCCGTAGGGGGTTATACAGCACCTTACGAAATGGAAGGCATTCAGACTTGATTCAAGGAATTAGAGCACAGTTCCAATTTAGATCAAGAGTCCTTCATCAGCATAAGGAACCTCCCTTGAGGGGTAGAGTGTGTGTGTGTACTCACCTATATGTGGTTGCAGGGGTTGAGTCACAGCTTTGCCCCACCTCTTCACTAGTCACAGCTGTATAGCCCTTGTGGCTTAGTGCTTCTTTTTGATTATAATAATAATAATTCACTAGTCACTACTAGGTTCATTCTTCTGGCTATAAGAACCTTTAAGCTATTTATAGATTCTGCCTCTACCCTCCTCACACTCCAACAAAACATCCATTAATACTATTTAATCAGGTCACTTCTAGCACACATTTTATACACACACATTTACTTTACATACAAGTTGAAAGGAAGGGCCAGGACCTGGGACTTACCCCTGGAACCACGTATAAGTAAGTACATATACAAGAGGGCCCTGTTTTTATGGCTGTTAGGTTCCTGACCCCAGCAATAAGTGAAAATTGCAGCAAGTGGAAAAGTGGTTTTTTCAATGTCGAATGCATCTAAAATGTCTGATAACATTTTTACACTGTCATATATTAAGTGCTCATTACAACTAGGCATCAAGAAAGATACAAAACTAAAAGAAATACACAGTACATACAATACTTACCTTAAATATATGGCACTGGTTGCCCTTTCCTTATGCACCTGTTGTGCAAAAATGGCAGAAAAGGCACTGAATATAATGAACAATGGCTCACTTGTAAACCAACAAAAATGTGGAACCCTGAAGAGAGGGTGCCAAATAAGCAGGGCCCTCCTGCACATAGTGTTCCTAAAAGAAAAGATATTAGCTTTGTATTTTATGTCAAAAGAAGCACCCAGGTTCACCAATATACGATGAATGCCTGAATTACCGGTGGGAGAAAAAGAAATGTACGGTATCAGATTGCTTTAAAGCATAGTTTAAAGATTTACTTGTTTGAGACAAAGTAGCTTTGATCTGTTGTCTAATTACCACAGCTTGATAATGGTCCAACATGAATTAATGCATGGTTTAGTTTTAATTTCCAGGATGTATTGTATTTCTTCTTCCAGAAAGGTATTGCTTTACGTTTAGGGTATGGTGATATTAAAGTATATTTATTCTTTTAATTTTTGAAAGAAAATATTCTACATATTTTTATATAAAATTAATGGAGTTCTCCTGTGATGTATTTAGTTATTTAAAAATTAAAAAAAAAAAAATTTGTATATCCTATACTTTGTAATCCATGTACTGTACTTACTTATATGTCAGTTTTCACAGACAGTAGTTAATATGCTGTACTGTATTTAGATTTTTTAATATTTTTGAAAAATTCCTACAATATTTTACTTGATTTTGTATGATTGTTACAAATATTTAATGTGAAACTGATGAATATTATATAGTAAAGGTGATGAGAAAAACATTAATACATATTTTAATTTATTATTATTATTATTATGATAAGCAATTCAAGATTTAAACACATTACAGATTTTAGGGAAGGCATAAATTAAAGTATAGAGTAATAAAGTTTCTTAGAAGAAATGAACATATTTATAAAGTTGAAAGTGAGCATAGATAAGAGTAAGGTGATGAGGGTATCAAATGATTTAGATAAAGAAAAATTGGATATTACATTGCAGGGAGGGAGTTTGGAAGAAGTGAATCTTTTCAGATATTTGGGAATTGACTTGTCAGTGAATGGGTTTATGAAGGATGAGGTTAACCATAGAATTAATGAAGGAAAAAAGGTAAGTGGTGCATTGAGGTATCTGTGGAGACAAAGAATGTTATCCATGGAGGCAAAGAAGGGAATATACAAGAGTACAGCGGACCCCCGTGAATTCACGGCTTCAGTAATTAACAGATTTTTACTTAGAACCTAACTAGTAATTGTTCGCGGAAATTCCCTCAAGTTTGCTGAATTGTTTTTTCATGGCAGTATATAATTTTTATGTGTTTTAACCCTTTCAGGGTCCGTCCCGTAGATCTACGGCTTTACGTTCAGGGTCCAAACCGTAGATCTACGCCATGAGCTCAGCTCACTCTGATAAACTGTGAGTGGTACATTTGGGCCTAGATATGAGAGAATACATCTATGTGGTATGTGTGCACCACATAAAACAGATCCTGCAGCACACTGTGTATAATAAGAGAAAAAAAATGAAATCATGATTTTTCGATTAAAACAGCAACTTTGCAGTGTTTTTTCGTATGTTTTTTATAGTTGTATTTGCAATTTCTTGGTCTCATTTGATAGAATGGAAGACATATTACAGAAATAGAGATGATTTTGATTGGTTTTAGCACTGGAAATGGCTTGAAACTGAGCTCAAAGTAGCAGAAATGTTAAATTTTTGCCGATATTCAAGAGTAAACAAACGACCTCACACGTCTAATACACGTCAGCTGGTGGGTCTAATATACATTCACAAATATGGTGATGATATTATACAATTATTACAGTATTGCATAACAGTAAATCATCTATTTTTTGGTGTGAATAAAAATTCATTATGTGAATAAAAAATCAAAATGGAATTTATTTGAAAAAGCCTCAAAACATAACAAATGAACAGAGGAAATGTTAGTTTAGTGCCAGGAATGCCTACATTGTTCATTCTGGACCCTATTTTGAAATTGGAATATTTTGAACTTTGTGTTAAATTGGCCAAATTAACAATTTCCGATCACTTTATTTTGTAGTTGAAACAGTTGACTTGGCGATTTCTTGTGCTCAATCGATAGAATAGAAGTAATACTAGTGAAATAGCTAAGAATTTGGTTGATTGGAATAATGTAATTGGCCTAAAATGGGAGTCAAAATCGGCAAAATCACCGATTCGTAAATATCGCTGACACATCAAAATTCGCGAGAGCATAATTTCGTCAATTTTCCACCAAATTTCGTACTTTTTGTTTTATTACCTTCACAAAAAGATTCTCTACGATTTCATAAGAAAAAATAAAAATTTTTTTTTTTTTAAATTCTTGGACACTGGTGCATGACTCCAGATTTGGGCCTTGGACCCTGAAAGGGTTAATGCTAAATATTAAGAAAAATATAATTTAATAATTTTGTGACATAATTTTTTTTTTTTAACAAGTCGGCCGTCTCCCACCGAGGCAGGGTGACCCAAAAAGAGAGAAAAATCCCCAAAAAGAAAATACTTTCATCATCATTCAACACTTTCACTTCACACATAATCACTGTTTTTGCAGAGGTGCTCAGAACACAACAGTTTAGAAGCATATACGTATAAAGATACACAACATATCCCTCCAAACTGCTAATATCCCGAGCCCCTCCTTTAGAGTGCAGGCATTGTACTTCCCATTTACAGGACTCAAGTCTGGCTATATAAAAATAACCGGTTTCCCTGAATCCCTTCACTAAATATGACCCTACTCACACTCCAACAGATCGTCAGGTCCCAAATACCATTCGTCTCCATTCACTCCTATCGAACATGCTCATGCACGCCTGCTGGAAGTCCAAGCCCCTCCCCCACAAAACCTCCCTTACCCCTTCCAACCTTTTCGAGGACGACCCCTACCCTATTAATGTAAATTCAGCAATTCGTACTGCACAGCTAATTCATCATCATCATCACTCGGTATCATTCATTATTGGTGAATACCCGTACTGTTAACTCTACTTTTACTAAATTATTACCGTATATTTACTGTACGTATACCAAAGAAAATGGGATTAAACAAATTACAACATACCAAAGAAAACAGGCTTGCATAAATTACTGTACAATCTAGCACTGTGGGAGACATAGCAGTACAGTACTGTATATGGGTTTATCTTTACATTTTTTTTTTTAAGGGTGATGTATAAAGCTGAGTTTGAAATTAAAGTGTTTTGGGGGCATATTTAGGGTTTAAACTATAAAAATAGGCATTTTTTAACTGCGTCCAGAATTTGCGGGTGATCTTGGAATGTGACCCCCACAAATTTGGGGGGACTACTGTATAGTGGTACCAGTGCTCTTATACGAGTATGAAGCATGGGTTGTAAATGCTGCAGCGAGGAGGCATTGGAGATGTCCTGCCTAAGGGTAATGTGTGATGTAAATATTATGCAGAGAATTCATAGTGTGGAAATTAGATGGTGGTGTGGAGTTACTAAAAGTATTAGTCAGAGGGCTGTTGAGGTGGTTTGGTTATTTAGAGAGAATGGAACAAAGTAGAATGACTTGGAGAGAGTATAAATCTGTAGGGGAAGGAAGTTGGGGTAGGGGTCCTCCCGGAAAAGGTTGGAGGGAGAGGGTAAAAGAGATTTTGTGGGTGAGGGGCTTGGACTTCCAGCAAGGGTGCATGAATGTGTTAGATAGTGAATGGCGACGAATGGTTTTTGGGACCTAATGAGCTGTTGGAGTGTGAGCAGGGTAAAATTTTGTGAAGGGATTCATGGAAACCGGTTAGTCAGACTTGAGTCTTGGAAATGAGAAGTACAATGCCTGCACTTTCAAGGAAGGCTTTGGGATATTGGCAGTTTGGAGGGACATCTAAACTGTTGTATCTGAGTACCTCTGCAAAGACAGTGATTATGTATGAGTGATGGTGAAAGTGTTGAATGATGAAAGTTTTCTCTTACTTTTTGGGTCACCCTGCCTCAGTGAGAAACAGCCGACGTGTTAAAAAAAAATATATGTATTTATATTTCAAAGAACTGACAATAGGTGATGTCATTCAGTGGGACCAGAGGTAGATGAGATACAAGATGAAGTAATAATAGTACACTACATTGTAGGGAAAGATGAATTTAATTATTACATTCATGGGAGGAGCACTAAACTTGTAGGGGTCATACAGCATCTGAGGGGAATGGGAGGCATTAAGGTTTAATCCAAGGAAGGGGAGCACAGGTCTAATTCCTTGGATCAAAAACCCTTCACCAGCTTCAAGGATCCTCCCTCTGGGGAGGGTCCTTGAGAGGGTTTCAGAGGTCTAAGACCCCCACACAGTCAGGTTTCAGGGCTCAACACCTCCACAGCCCGGTCTGAAACTAGGCCTCATGGTGGATCAGGGTCAGATCAACCAGGCTGTACTGCTGGCCACACGTAAACCGATGTAAGAACCACAGCTCAGCTGATCAGATACTGACTTTGGGTATCCGTCCAGCTCGTTCTTGACGAGTCAGGGGTCTATTGCTAATCCCCCTTACGTATGCTGGGAGGCAGTTGAACAGTCTTGGGCCCCTGACACTTATTGTATTGTCTCTTAGTATACTTGTGGCATCCCTGTTTTTCACTGGGAAAATGTTGCATCTCCTGCCGAGTCTTTTGCTTTCGCAGGGAGTGATTTTCGTGTGCAAGTTTGGTACTAATCCCTCTAGGATTTTCCAAGTGTATATTATCATGTATCTTTTTTTCCTGCATTCCAGGGAATACAAATCAAGGGACTTCAACCGTTCACAGTAATTTAGGTGCTTTATCATACAGTGGACCCTCGCCTAACGAACGCATCGCATAACGTTAAATCCGCCTAGCAATACATTTTAATACAAAAATTTTGCCTCGGCTAGCGCTAAAAAACTCGCTCGATGTGATTCGTTCGAGACGCGTCCACGTGCGGCCTGAGCCCGCCTCACTTGTTCTGTGGGTGCCAGTGTTTACAAGCCAGCCACCGTGGTCGCTTCCAAGCATACAATCGGAACATTTCATAT